ACTTAAAAATTAATGATTATTACATTAAGGTAAATAATTTGATTTGTAAAATGCAACCTACAAGAGCAAAGAAAGATAGAACTCTAAATTAACATAAAAAATTTTAAATTGCATACAAACCTATCCCCTTTAATATGATTTCAAAAGTGCACCAATGAATTCAAATAATTGTTTGATTGATCTTGGAACATGTAATAGTGTGATTGTTCCAGCCTTGGATTCCATGCAATAACTGGCAATTTTTTTATCTTGTATTTTTTCAATATAATTAATTATATGTCTTGGTTAAAATAAAAAATAAAATAAACAAACATGTTATTGATATTTGATACTTTCCTCATGTGTGAATTCCTTTGTCTCTGCATTCATCACAGTGATTATTCAATATATTTGATGTTATAATTGACATAAAAAACAACTGCATCACCTGGGTAGTAATAATACCAAGGCCATGCAAAAATTAAACTGTGTCTACCCAGATCTCTGGGCTCACAATAATCAATTATGGTCAATAGGATAAATAATTAATGTGTACGCATTGATCAAATAACAAACTTCTTTAAAAAAAAAAAGTCATTTGATGACAAGAAAAATAAAAGAAGCAGGCAAACTGCTCTTGGTGAAATTTCTAGGTAAGTATTTTAAGGATGGTGGTGGTGGTTATCGCCTGCCACTTGTCATTACTCTAGTTATTGAGAAGAATGATGGATTATCATCATTCTTGTTAATAAAGAAAACATTAATTATGATGGAATACTTGCTGATATTAGTGGGTAAGTTATTACTATTTAAAGATACTCCATGATTTTCTTTCTTTTCTTTCTGACTGAGTATCTAACTTAATTTCGCCTATACCGGATAAAGTGTCAATGGGGAGAACATAGTACAGATAAAAAAGGTGAAATCATAAATAACTTTCGAATAACTTTCAGATGGCAAATAATTAATGACCTCCTGTTTCATGATTAGGTGAAATTCGATGAGAAGGAACAAGAATCAGAAGCTAAAACCAAGATTCCATTTAAGACCAGAAAATACAATTTGTATGTTGATGGAGAAGACATGCGATCTTTAATTGATAGATGGTGTCAATCAACAAAATATGTTGCTGAAATACATAAACAGGAGTATATGTTCTTTAAATTTATCTTACTTCGGAAATTGTTTAGGTTAAATTAACATTTCGCATGCATTATTTTAGTTTGTTATTTTATCACATTATAGATAAAATTGAATCATCAGCAACTGCTCCACAATCTGTTTTTAAAGATAGGTGGACTGATTTGATTAATGTTATGGAAGACATTTTTACACCTAGTAATATTGATCCCAATGAGAAACAAGATGTGAAGATTTATATAAAAGAACTTATGAAAAAAGTGGTGAGAGGATTATTTGGTTGCAAATAATTATAGTTCATTTCTAATATCTATTGTTTTAAAAAAAGATAACATGGGAACAGCTGGATAACGTTATCAAGATTGAAAAGAATAAATTACGTACATCTAAATATGAGTGATGGAAATATCAAATTATAAAGCTCTCAAAAATTTTGTAAGTGCCTTTTCACTCTTGAATTTCCTTTAAATGTCACATGGCCAATTTTGCTGATATGTAGCTTTTTGAAATTATTATAGTAAAGACCAATTTAAAAATAATCATAACAAGCTTACAAAAAATCAAACAGAGAACAATTATATAATCAATTTTATTTCTCGAGTTTTTATATTAATGTTTAAAGATAGTGATGTTAGCCGGCTAATAATCTGCATGCATAATTTCTAAATTTGGTAATAGATTTCTGCGTTACTTTCTTGTTAATTACCAATTTAGGTAGTAAACAGCTTAGCCGGCTAAGGATTTTTAAACGGCTAACATCACTACCCCATACATTGTGTTGAAGAAGAAAGTACGTGTAGTTTTAATAAATTAAAAAATATGATGTTCTTTATAATAATATGATGATATTAATAAAATCACCATCTTTATTCATTAGAAGATTTTTTTATATTTTAGAAAAGTACAACTTTTATAGTTTATGTGAAAAAAATTTGGTTTATATTGGATGTTTTTTTAAAAATTATTATTATAAAGGCATTTTGTGCATTTTTTTTTTGTAAATTTTTTTAAATATTATCCTCAGTCACTTTGTTCATAAACTAAAATCATGTAATTTGATATGCTTTAAGAGAGGTTTCTGCATAATTTTAGAATAATTATAGGTCAACGTGACTCTACAAAAATATAAATGATCAACAAAGAGAAAATTTGTCAAATTTTTTTTAGTAATAGGAATAATTAATATTAATATGTGAAAATAAACTCAAAATTTGTGTCACATAAAGTTTTTTTAAAATCGTTCAACCTAGCTGAAGGCCAAAAAATTTTCTTATAGAATTTCTATTTGAGATAATGCACATTTCAATTATTTGTTATTCAAACAACCACCATTCAATGTAGCTTGGATATTCAAATAATAATGGAAATAAATAACAAGTCACTGTCATACATTTGCTTTTGTAAATTTTCATTACTATAATGACGGAGATTTTTTAGGACAATTATTCTTTTACTAATAAAAATTTTCAAATGACACTACCAAAATGGAGAAAGGCTGAACCAATGTCATTATGGTGGACTAAAATTGTTGTTTCAATAATCCTTTTAGTTGGATTAATTGCATATATTGTTGTTTCAACAAATTTGATTAGCCTTCAATTCAATATTCTAACAATAAATTAGTCTCACAAAAATTTCCAGGTACTGTATGTACTGTATATGCTAGTAAATATTATTGGAATTTTTTTTTAGCAAAATTATTTATTTTCTTATCATTTTAAAAGCATTTAATGTCACTCAGTTTAAAAATATAACAACAACAATTAATTGCACTTTTACACTTGTTAATACGATTAGTATGTATATTTCTAATAATAAACTTAATTGTTGAATTTGACATATCATTAATAGAATTATTTCTTAGCTGATTGTTCTGCCAATCTTAAATTGTTTGACAATGGAAGGTATAAATTTACTCCTAGTGAAAACATGAATGCTGATGATAATTGGAGTTACATGATCCTTTCTTGGAATTATATTCCTGGACATGATTTCAATTATATTTCTTTTGGTACAGATAACTATAAAACTTTTAAAATCACATACTTTTTAATTTAATGATTAACTATTATTATATTCTGTCAAACAAAATAGAATTAGATGATATCAAAAAGAAATATCCAGATCAGGCTAACCTTCAAAAATACATAGATTATCTCCAAGACCTTGAACTTGTTCAAGGAAACAAGGTATCTATTAAATGCATCAATGGTTATTAACATTTTAATATTTTGTAATTAAAGTCAATAACTTATAATCTAAAATTAGAGTAATTATTTTTATATTAAATGGACCAGAAGAGAGTACTTAATTCGTGATGGGACAAATTATTTAGATATTCCTAATCGTCATATTCCACTTTGTATTGGAGAACCAATGGCTTTATGTAACTACAAATTTTATGATTCATTTAAAGTTTTGCAATATATAGTAATTTAACCTTTTCTAATTTCAAAGCATCTATGACAGGACTCAAAGAGTTATCCAACCATATGGGAGTCGTCATGGAAATGGATTGTATAACTTTATTAATTGATGATCCGCAAATAAATGAGTGTGTCGTACAAAATAAAAAATGAGGGAGATTTCATATCAAATGTTCGGCGAAAAAAACCTAGAAGTGCTGATTTTACTTTATGATCTTTTACAAGAAAATAGCACTATGCTTTGTGCCTCAAATTTATATCCTGTTATTTTATAAAATGGAATAACATCAAAGAATATATTGATACATTTTTTTTTTTGATTTTTAATCAGAAAATAAAAAACTTTACTTTGTAGCATCTTAGATTTTTCATCTATATATGAGGGGCGCTCTAGGAAAAAGGGGGTCCGAGCTATTTTTAAAATTTAAAATATTTTGAGTAAACAACCGATTAAATTTTGTTACACGAAAGTACCCCTGGATTATTATTTTTGTGTTACGTATTAATTATGGACAAAGACAACTATACAAAGATGAATAAGTAAAGAACACATACAAAGATGATTAATAAATGTTAGAAGAGAAAAAAATGGAATTTTTAATAAATAAATTTTAATTTATGTATTCATGTATTAATGCACAATATTATTTGTAAACACAAAAAATAATCTTTGTTAATCTTTGTTAATAAATTGTTCTGTATATTTTCTTTAAATTGTGAACAATTTTAAATGCATATATAATTCATGTATATAATTTTCGATGCACAAATACAATTTACAAGTAATTTTACATACAAATTATTCATAAAATAATTTTGCAAAAATTAATATTTTATAATTTAAAATGTCTGATTTAATGGAAGAAATTATTGAAGCATCTGAAAATGAAAATGAATCATTTGAAGAAAGTAATTTGATACAATACAATTTAGCTGAATTAGGATTAGAGGAATATGAATCAAATACTTTGGTAAAGAAAAATGTTCATGAACTAAAATTATTTTTTGGAAACAGATCAAACTGTAGATGTCGAAATGAAAATGAAATTTGTTTTGAAAAAATTGGGTTTAAAAATTTTTTTGAAAGATACATGGAATTGAAAGGATTAGAAAAAGATATGAAGGATCTTTGTATTAAAACACAATTAATGACATTTGAGTTAGTAAATGAAAATTCAACTAAATCACATTATAATTATAAATATAATTCATCAATACCTATTTGTCAAAAAGTGTTTTTGAAACTAAATAATATTAGTAGAAAACTCTTAGATACATTGCAAGCACATTTTAAAACAAATGGTCTGGAAAGTCGTATTCATGGCAATACAAAAAGAATTCCTAAAATCAAATCACGCTCATTAATTAATGCTGAAGTAGCAAATACCTTTAAGGAATTTGTCTTGCAATATGCAAAAATATATGGTCTTCCATCTCCAATGAAGCTTAGAGATGATCTGGAACCATTATTTATTTGCAACTGAAATAACACGTAAAAATGTGTATGAAGAATATAAAAAAAACTTACTTTTGGTAAATTCATATCTAAACTCTAGACCTATTCCAATTATAGCACTACAGACTTTTTGTAAACTGTGGCAACAGCTAACACCAGAAATCAAATTCCTAAATCATGCAAGTGATCTCTGTGATACATGTTATGGATTTGACACAAAATTGATGTCAACAAAAGATAAAGATGAAATTGCAAACATTAATTTTGAATATGAAAAGCATAAAAAAATTGCAATGTGTGAAAGAGAACATTATAACAATATTATTACAAAAGGTAAAACTGATTTTTCAATAAATCACATTTGTTATGATTGGGCACAAAGTGTTGTGGCTCCTTATTCTCCTCAACAAACTGGATCAATTTATTTTAAGTCTCCTTTTAACATACATCTCTTTGGTGTGTGTAGAACTGATGGAAATAAAAATTATCAATTAAATTATATCATTGGAGAAGATGAATTCCCAAAAGGAACTCACAAAGGAGCTAATACCACTTTAAACATGGTATATGACTTTCTTAAAAAAGTTGATCATGCTGACAAAAAAGACCTTTATGTAACATGTGACAATTGTTCTGGACAGAACAAAAATAATCTGTCTTTATGGTTCTGGTCATGGATAATAATGCTAGGTTGGTATGAGAATATTTACATCAATTTTATGATTCCTGGGCATACAAAATTTATTTGTGATGCAAATTTTGGACATATTAAAAGTAAATACAAAAACAGGCGCATAAATACTGTTGATGATGTTGCAAAAGCTATAAAAGATTCAGCAGAGTGTAATGAACCTATTAGATATGGCAATGGCTCAAATTGGAGTTGGTATAACTTTACTTTATTATTTGAAGGACATTTCTGAAGTCTGCCAAATATAACAAAATATCATCATTTTTGTTTCAGTAGTTTATCAGATGATATTGGAAAAGTTTATGTTTCAAAAAAATCAGGTGGCACTGAAATTCCTTTCAAACTTTTAAAGGATGATAATTTTGATAAAAATAGTCAATTAGATGTACTTGAAATTGCTCCATTGTCAGAAGATAGAAAAAGATATTTGTATAACAAAATTCGTCAGCATGTAGACCCAGAATTTAGAAATATTCTTTGTCCTAATCCTAATTAGTTTTTATTATAATTGAAACTTGTCATTATGATATTTTAAGTTCTATGCTATCAAAAATATAGTTTAGGAAAAATATGGTTGAATAATCATTTATTTTGTTTTTTTGCCTTTTTTTTTGTTAATTTTTTATTTATAATTGTAATTTTATAAAAAAAATAATTATTAAAAATATGATAGATTGGAGTTCATTATCTTAAAATATTATTTCGAATATAAAAATATCATTAATTTTTTTGAAAAAAAAAATTATGCAGTGTGTAAATCATTGCTTATTTTGTTTTTAAACTTTTTTGAAAGAAAGTTGTCACCCCAGGAAATTTATTTTTGTACTAAACAAACTGGGTCCAATTTTTTCACCAACTATAATCATCATATTATAGTTTAATATTATATAAAAAAAATTTTTTTGATCAAAAATCTCCGACCCTTCTTTTCCTAGAGCGCCCCTCATATATGGGACGTCATCTGAGAAAATCAGTGAATTTTTTTTTTTGTCATTTTGAGAAAAAGGGGTTTGAAGTTTTTGTTATTAATTTCCCATAAAAGGAAATGACAACCCGAAAAATTTAAAATAGAAAATATGCAGACAATCTTGACCCAAAAAATTTTAATAAAAATAAAAAAACAATAATAATACATATAATTAATAAATTATTGATAAAATTAACAATTAATGTCTAGGTACAGAAGGTTTTGGACAAATATTATTTCTTTTATTGGGATTTTGCACTAGATCTCGTATTTGGTCATATAAATACCATTGTCTAGAAGCACTTAACCCTATTGCTTCTTTGATTTTCAATTCATCATCCAAATTAATTGAATTAATATCTAAACTGTGGTCCTTTAAAAGACAATTATAAGATCCAAAATCATCACTATGACACCTTTTATATTTTATATAACCTGGATGTTCACTTTCAAATAGAAAATGATAATATTTAGAAATCCCAGGGAGAATTTTAAAATACTTTGAGAAAAAAGCATTCCATTGGTAAAAATCTACTTTTCTTTCACTATTTTCATAAACAGGTTGTGCCAAATTGTACATAGCTGTAGTTGAATTATTGACAATTTCAACTAAATCATCAATATCATCAATTTCTGATTTTCTCAATTTCAATTTAATTAAGCCAAAAAAACCATCTGGTGAAAATTTGGTATGTCCAGGCACCATGAAAGAATAAGTTATTCTTTTATGTAATCCATTCATCACTCTCCAAGCTAAATACCATATCATAGTATTATTTTTATTTTGACTAGAGCAGTTGTCAGCATGAATTGTGATATTTTTTTCACCTAATCCATGTTTTTGAAAGTAATCATGCACCATGGAAACTACAGTATCAGGGCCTTTACCCATTGAATATTTTTCGGGAATTAAATAATTTATCTAAAATTTTAAAAAAAGTTAATATGTTAACTATTTAAAAAATCAAAGGATAGTTTAATAAATATTACTTGTCTTGGTATAGCATCATTGCATATACCAAATAATTGCACTTTGTACAATGATTTAAAATATGAAATTCCCTAATCAATTTTTTAAATAAATTAGTATCAATTTTTTAAATCAATTTTATTAAAAAAATAAACCAATTTACCACTTGTTGAGATGAACTTGGAAGTTGTATTTGTTGTGCATAATCCCATGAAATATGAACATCAACATCTGATGAACATGGAGGAATTTCCTCTCCCATAAATGTTGGTTCATTACTTTCCAAACTTTTTTTTGCAAATTGTATACAGCTCCTAATTTTTGTATATAAAACAAATGATTTATAAATTAAACTAATTAAACCTAAAATGAAATATTTAAATCTATACCTATAATTATCTCTTTCATTATTTGCCCGCTTAATATGTGCATTCCAATTATTAACTTTTTGTTCTTTTTCAGCTAAAGACCAAAAATTTGCATTTAATCTCATTTCTTTACATAAGGTACAAAGATCAGTTCATGGTGAGAGGAATTGAATTTCAGGAAGATAACTCTTCCAAATTCTTACAAAGCTTGAATAACTAATATGATGTTCTGATCCAGTTCCAATATCATTTAAAAATTTTTCATGTATTTCTGTGTAGTTATCCCTTGTAGGTAAATAAATAATTGCTTTTGTAGCTCTTTCAAAATGGCGACCTAGAATAAAAAAGAAATAAGATATTGATCAATGTTAAATAACACATATTTTAATTTTACCTGGTGATGGTAAACCATTCAAATTTGCATAACTTTTTAAAAAAGTAAGCACTTTTAATACTGTTTCAAAAGAGAGCTTATGAGAAACATTCCTTCCTTTATTCAAATGTACCTTTGGTACAATATCATTATTTTTATAGTGATTCTTTAAAGCAGTTAATCTATCATATGATAAATTATATAATTTTAAAAAAGCATTATTGCATATTGCTGTCATATAATCACTAGTTGAGGTTATTGAATTTCTGGTTGATGTTGAAATAATTCCCAAAAGAAACATATTCTGTTGATCTTTAGTTAAATTAATATAATTTTGACAACGTAAAATAGCAAACATTTTTTATTACAACATTTTTTTTTAAGTATGTTTATAATATAATTTTTTGCTTCTTCATTTTTTCTATTTAATTTTTCTTTCTCAGCTTCCAATTCACTAATTCTGACTCTTCAATTGGTTCATTATTGTAAATTTTTTCAAAATTTTTAATTTCTATTTCTGAAAAAACTTCATTATTTATTTCATCATCAAAGTCATCATCAAAATCTTCTATCACATTGGTCTCAATAATATTTTCTGTTTCAATATCTTCAGATGAAGTTTCCATAAAATCATTTTGGAATTCTTGTAAATTTTCATGTAAATCTATTAATTCTGGATGGGTCTCATCAAAAATGTTATTCAGATATAAATGATTATTGTTAGTACACATATTGATAATTTATTAAAAATTTTAAAATTTATTGTGAATGATAATCAAATTTAGATATTTATTTGAAGATCATTCCGATTTTTTGGGTCTTTACAGAAATGGCTTTTTTTAAAGAAATGGAAGTATCACAAAATTTCATTAAGCAAATATGGGTATATTTCTAAGCTGAGTAGATTCCTCGACTCAAATTACATGTAACTGCATTATTTTCTCAAAAATGACAAAAAAAAAAATTCACTGATTTTCTCAGATGATGTCCCATATAACCTCAGCAGAAGCCGCATATAGTGTGTTATGTACTGCCCAAAACCCACGATATTAATACTAGAAGACAAGGTACATTCACTACCTACATAAAACTTAATGGTGAAGTACAAACTTACGAAATGGGCAACAACTAACTTTTTCAAACTTTATCTGTGGTTGGAGAAACTAGTAATCATATCATTGAAAGCCAATTTTAGAAAGCCTTGATTACAATAAATCAGTCATCCATCTAATTTGGGCAAGCATGTCAAAGATCTAACCAACCAATGAATTAGTTGTTCATTATGCTAAGCTTCCATTGTTGGAAGGAATATTCTCTTACCTTACAAGAACATCCCATAGGAGAGTAATCATAACGCACACGCAACACATTATCACTAAATTAAATTGGCATGTCAAAATTAAAAAATTAACCTCAACTAAATTCTTTTTCAAAAACAAACTTTTTTATATAACTGTTTCTTTGAAAAACAACCTTAGTTTTCATATAAATTTTCTCTTCAAAATTTCCATATTAAATTAAATATTTATTTCAAATTTCGTTATAAACAATGTCATTCAACATTAATATTATTTTTATAATATAAAATTAAAAAATAGAAAAAAGATTTTATACATTAAATAGCTAAATAATTAAATATATATATATAGTGAAGACTATAGTAATGCTTGTGCTGCTTTAAAAGATTCATTGGTGATTTGATTTATGATCTCATCTAAATTCATTGTTATAGTGGTATGAACCAAACCTGGAATTTTTGCTCGTTGAACACCAACCCATTCTAATGGTGGCGTTGCATCACCTAAAATAAATAATTGTGGCTCTAATTTTACAGGTTTTATAGGATTGAATTGAATCTCTGATTTATCCTTATTTTCATTTGATTTCACTGTAGTAGTAGAACTGTTATTATTATTATCATCATCATCATCTTTACTAGATGAAGAAACATTAGTTGTTGATGATGGCATTAATAGTTGTTGTTGATCAATATTTGTAAAGGTGTTGTCTGATGATGATGTATTTACTGGTGATATAATTGGTGATCGAGGAAAATCATAAACTCCAACATGATTTTTCTTTATTTGTTCTTTGTATAGTGCTTTCAATTCCTGTAAATATCTAATTAGTCCAAAATTTAAAGCAACGTTAACCTTTCCACTAAAATCTACTGAAAATTTGTGATCTACAACATTACTTTCTATTCCTTGTATAGTATCCATTGTTAGATGTGTACTAGGTAAAGTAAAAATATTTTTGTTGGATGCTGCTTCAACATGCTCAAACCATTTTTGAAATGAAAATTCTTTTTCATCTGTAATTTTTAATTTTTTACATGTACTTTTTAATAAAGCAATGCCATTAATTTTCATATCAAGGAATCTATTAATCCTTTCGTCATTGTCTATTGATCTTTTCATATCCACTGAAAGTTTATCAAAACTTGTTTGAACACAACCAGAATCATGAAAATGATTCGGATATATTGTTATATGAGCTTTTTCTATGAAAATTGAAATTTTTCCAGTAGGTTTAATCGATAATCCTCCAATGGACAAATCTTTGAATGTCAATTGTTGTTGTTGTTTATTTTTTGTTGCTACTTTATTAATTGATTTCTCTGGAGTAGCAACACTTGTTATTTGTGTAATATTATTATTTGTGGGATTAAGATGTTTGGTTTGTTCCAAATCAGATATTACGTTGGCAGCTGCCAATCTTTTTTCTTCAACCAATGCTAAAAGTCTATTGCCCATACGAAGAAATATAGGCACTGTTTTTATTGCAAGTATAGCTTGAATTTGTTGTAGCTTTACATCTGCATGAATCAATACATTCGCAGTTTCAAAAGATTTGATATCCCAATTATCTGTTAGTTGAAATTGTATAGGATCTATTTCTAATATTAGTATTTTTTGATACTCATATTCCAACAAGGATTGAAGACGTTCAGTTCTAAAAAACAGATTTGTAACTGGGGTAGGTTCATCATCTATTGATTGTGGTGGTATTCCTAATTGTGTTAGGAAACTAAATCCACTCATATTTACAGTACCTACAAGACGACCTTCACAATTGATATCAAGAGTATCTGTTGATATCATGAATTTTTTTAATTTCCCTGGTATATTTTTAGTTCTCATTTGGATGTTATTAGAATTAAAATCAACTTTGCCAATTGCTTGACCTAAATCGCTAGATAAATCTAATTGCTTTAACGTTACAAGTATATAGACCGAATATGGTTTAACAATATTTTCAGAATATTGTAAATTTCCTGATGATGATGATGATGATTCTTTTTCATTATTATTATTATTATTATTATTATTATTATAATCATAATCATTATTGATAGTTGTCGAAGTTGTTGAATTTGCAAAATTTCCTTCATAAAGCTTTGTCGTTTGATCTAACCATATCGTTTTGAGCAGCATTAAGTCTTGAAGATGTCTGATGTTCAACTCGGCCATAATTCTAGGAAATTCTACAATAATCGAAATAAAATCATCATTAATATTTTCAGATCGTCTACTCATCAAAGTTGCACTAAATGAAATATCTTTCGTTTCAGCTCTAACACAATCTTCAGGTGAAAAGGTGTGTCGAATATTTCCAGAGGCTCCCTTAATTTTACCAATACATGTTATACTTTGACCTTCTTCAACAGTATTAGATGATATCAAAAAAGTTCCTTCTTCCCAATTCAGTAAACAAAATACTTTTGAAGTAGGCTTGCAACTAAGATTAAATGTGGTATGAGAAAGTCTAAAATAAAACGTTATGTTCAAGCCTTGTATCGGTAAGGTGCTATCTTGTATCGCAATTGCTTTTTTGTCACTAGAATGTTGTACACCAATTTTTAAACCGTCTATTATATCCTTGAAGAATAATACTAGTGATGGGTATAATATATTTTCGCTCGGATGTATTACCAATTCTATATGTATTCTTTTCTTTGGTGAATCGTTAGCCTTTTGAACTATTTGACCAATAATAGCCTGATACATTGTATTCAAACTAAGCCCCGGTATAATTATTGTATCAACACCTTGTTCACCTTTTCTTGAAATATCATCTAAATTAGATTGTGAATAACCACCAATCCCATCCAAATTTAATCGAGGAAGAGAAGCTGCACTTCCACGTGAATCATGTGATGATCTTGCGACTTTCTTTGAAAATGTATTATTTCTTGAATGATTTTTTTTGACATAATTTTTTGGATATAGTTTTATTATTCCACTTTTAGCAATAAACTTTGCATACAATATTAAATTTATTACATTTGGTGTTGTTGAATTATTGTTAATTGATGATGGATTTCCATTTTTTATCTCCTGGACAGATTTAGATTGAGACCCTAAATTTAAATTTGCTTCTGCAGTAAAAGTTTCTAACCTTTCTTTACTATCTGCATAGATTTCACCCAACTTGTTGACATAATTAACAATGTTGCCACTAACATCTACTTCAAATCCTTCAACACGTGAATCAACACCAATTTGTTTCTTGTCAACGCTTCCAATCATTTGCACTTCACATGATATTTCGGGAATATAAATTCGGTTCATTTTGGCACGAGAATTGAAAAGGTTTTCGTTTCCTTGATCAAATTCTGAAACAAATTGAATACAAAGATCATTTAATGTTGCATTACTTGTTTTCCATTTTCTTGTAATAAACTTCATTGATGTTGCTGTAAGAAGAAATGCTGGAACTTGTGATTTAGTTGGAACATCACTAGAGTTTTCAACTGCTGTTGCCATTAACTCTTCGTGCAGATCAAGCGGAAGTGCAATTGCAAATTTATTGACCTCAAGTGATAAGACTTTCTCATTTAACAAAGATTTGCTAGTTGCTTTATATTTTGGCATTTCAACTTCGAGCGATTGTAATAGTTTACGAGTGTTTTCCGCCAATTTATTTATATCTGACTCTTTTAGTTCTTTTCTTCGTGTCAACTCGCCGCTGTAATACAAATACAAATCAATAAGGCGACCCAAAGCAACTGGTTGCATTACTGCGTGTACTTTCAACAACTTCAAAAAATATGATTCAACGATTTCAGACGAATCATCTGGTGCAAATATATGATTCTTTTTTGTATTTAGTTCATTCTGTTTATGGTTTTGTAAGGTAAGATCAATTGAAATATAAGCAATCCTATATTTACGAATATCATCATCTGCTATTACTTTACTAATTGCACCAGAATTGTGATTAAGTGACAGAGAAAAATTTTGAGCAGAAAATTTCCATTCCACTTTTGTTAACCCATCTCCAACAGGCACATTTTTTATTGATCCGTTTAGAACATTTGTTTCAAAAAACACAACAGCTGTAGGACTTGCTGCTGATATTTTCAATCCTCGTAAAGATATTTCGAAATTATATTGTAAAGAATCTTTTTCATTACTTGATATGTTGATTGTGGATGACGATGACTCTGTTGTTGTTGACAAATTACTACTAACTTTCGAAGATTTCTCTTTAAGTCTTTTAGAAGAAAATAAAAACACATCCAATACATCATTCAACTCACTACCAAGAAGTGAATGAGCAGTTAACAAATTATCAATAATATTTACATTCAGGCTCAATTTGACTAAATCTAAAGTGATGGCTGATTCTAATTTTGAATATTTCTTGTCAATTGAAGAAGTAATACCAGCAACTGCAGTAGTAGAACCAACTTTTTTATTGAGAGCTGTTGATTTTTGAGGTTCGC